CCACCTCTAACCAGCTCTTCTGTGGAGTGGGGTTCATACGAAGGGGGCAAGGATTGTCATCGCTAAACAACTTATAAGTCCCTTTGTGAGTTACATGTTCCTACTCTCCAAACAGCCAAACCTCTTTAGAGGCCTTGAACATCCAAAGAACGGTACAAGATGGATCAAGATTCAAGATGGTACATGGTACAAGTACATCAACCAAGAGTCAACAGGGAGTTGTAGAAGTTCTGGATGTCCGCATCGCTGATGTCATACTCCCCACCACCACGGGCTGCCAAGGCCGTAGAGCTCTGTCGCAACCCTTGGGAGTTCACATTGGGCGCGACGAACGCCCAGCGGGACACAGTGAAGGCCCCGGCGAAGAGCACGGCCGAGACGAGGAGATTCGAAGCACGCGCCATGGATAGTCGCAGTTGCGGAACAGCACGGTCGTGCGGCGGAGGGGCTGGAGCCAAAAATCTGACAGAGAAAAGGAAGAGCAAACAACAAAAGCAACCAAAAGCACATAAAAACATCGAAAAAGCATAGGATGTTCATATCATCTAGTCACTCTAGTCATCTGGTTGTGGTTGGTGAACACCTCTTTTTGGTATCCCTGCATCTTCCTGGGCCAGAAAAATCCTCACGTCTTCATCGCCTCTCCGCATCTCCTTACCAAAACCAAAGAACTTCAGCAGTAAACATATTGTTCTTTCTCCATTAGCTGCAGAAACTTCACACCCAGTCCCACTTTCGGAAGTTCCTTTTCTTGCGCAGCATCACAAGGTGATGACATCCAATTGCTACACGGAAAAAGATACCCGGCCTTCCACTAACATGGACACCCAGCTCAAGACAACGTTGAGATCGTGTACAGTGGGTGTTATCTTTTCTCATCCCACTCTCATCTTACAAAACAGTTGGTGTCCATGTTGTCCTCACACTACCGGGTGATCCGCTCAACCGCTCAGCGCTGCTTGATCTGGGGTCCTCCGAAGGTCTTCTCGATGTTGCCCAAGGCCGTATCCCAATTCACCTGTCGATCCGCCGCGATGTGTCGCGCGCGCGCGCTCTCACGCAAGCACATCCGCAGCAACCTTCAACGGTCCAACAATTTGTTCTGCGATTGCAAAGATCTGGAGGTGTTTGCGGTAGATCTCGATGTACTGCCGCTATTAATAGTGATTTATTGCCAGTCCGCCAGTCCAATATATTCCCTTTGTTGCCGGTGCACGTGAGGTTCTCGTGAGAATGCCTTTTTTCTGCTGTTGACACTGCTGACCTATTGTATATTATTGTATATAGTTATATAATCTGCCGTATAAACACGCATCAGTGTCCTTCACTCGTCCCCAAAAGCGAGTATGTTGGACTCTATAGGTGACCCATATTTGTCTTCTCCTGCGCCGCCCAACATCCCTCTTCTAAAACATACTACAACGTGCCTAAAATTCGAGGACGTGTACTCCTTCTTTGAGCCATGCCCAGGTGGTTCATAACCCAGATTCTTTGTTGCTGCAATGGAAAAGAACCACAACTTTCCAAGCCTGTGTTAGATATATACATAGAGCTACCCTGGAAGCACAGCTAGGCTAGCTAGTTGTTGAGCTACCCATTTGGCCCCCTTCTCGTGATGGCCAACCTTCTGGAAGAGCTCATCCACGTTGGATTGCTTTGCCACCAGGATCGCGCGCTTCCTTGCAAGGTGATGAGCGCGAAAGGGGCAGCGCTGACGGTTTCGCGCCCCGTGAGTTCGGGACGGCGGCGTGTCATGTTCGATGAAGGTGACACGCATTACAGTATATAGTGGCTTGAACCTCCACTCGTCTGTAAAACATGGTCCCATTTATCCTCCAGATGTGGCTTGAAAATCATCTATAACTTTCTATCATTTCACGTGCAAAGAGAATCACGTCGGACATCTCCTCAACTTGTTAGAGCTAATCTGCCACACCACGGGCCGCCCAGCCAGCCCACCACCCCACCACTCAGCAGAAGTGCCATCATCCAAGTGTCCCGTATGGCACCGACTTGAACAGCTCCACGGCCAGGCCACCTGGGCTCATCTCGGCCGCCAGCCACACCCAGCCCTTGCCGTCGTCCTCCACCTGAGAGATCAGGGTGCTCGGACGCATAGCAGTTCTAATCACCACTGCAAGGAGAGTCCCACAACCACTAAGCATCTCTTCCAAAGGTCCAACATATGGTTGTTGTCTTGACATCTGAGATCATCTGGGCATGCCGCAAAATGGAATCTAAATCTGCTGTGTCCACCGTGCCTTCTGAGTCTCATCCACGCCGTAGCCAACGCCGCCCTTGGTCACGAACCTCGTGGCACTCAGACGTAGTCGCACGTAGGTGACGATGCTGGTGACGAGTGACGTATATCCCTTTCGTTCCATGTTGGATAGATGGAATACCATCAGTGGGGTGGTTGAACAGGGTCGATGATGGTCAGTCTCATAGCAACTATTGCACCTGCTTAGCCAGGTATATTCCAGCATTCAACTAGACCAGTTTTTGCTGTTCATTTCAAGCATCGACGTGTCATGCCACCTCCGGAGGCAGTTCCATCCCACAACATGTGGGCGCCCGGTTCTGCAATTGGATACATACACTGATAGAAAACAACATGCCTTCTTCTGCTCCCAGCACTCTCTTTGAAGTCTATGTTCAAACAACCAACCTCTTGTTCATTCTGCTGCTTCGGGCGTCTGGCGTGTGTAGGTTTTTTGAGGCCGGGAACATGGGGTTGCTCATCTGCTCCTTGAGCTTCGCCACGCCCACCGCGATGTCCTGCGTGGGTCGCATCCGGTAGCATCCGGCGAACCACGAACAAACAGAAATCCAGATGTCACGTGCCCCGTAGCGGCGCAAGAACGGACCTCATTATTTCTGGAGTTGATCATATTGGCTTCCAATTCCTGCTTCTTTCTGGATTCTGGTTTGGGATGTGTTTCATTCTTTTGGACCATCAAACAACATCAAAAGCAAGAAATAATCCGAGGAAATTCCTGAACACCGTCTGCAACGTCGAGAACACCGTCTGCAACATCGAGCTTTCCAAAGAACTGTTCAACTCTCATCTGACTGGTGTGGCTCGCAGGGTGGCTGAGGGTGGCTGGATCCAATAGAATCTCTATTTCGGGCTCATTCCCTGATTCCCTACGAGTCGCACCAGTCAGTCATTTTGGCAGCGCTCACGGAAGTCCCATCCTTCTTGCCGATGTTCCCTGGAGGAGGGCCCTTCCTGCGACGGTACGAGAAAAGCCTAGCTAGACCTGAACCTTCCAGGAGGTGCCCACTCTGTAGTGTAGGGAAGCTTAAACTAGGTAACGTCTGGAATTTGAAGGTGCTGGGTAGCTGGACTTTCTAGAAGCCTACGGTTTGAGCAATTGAACAACTGCATGGTGTCCTTCGTCTACTGGCACCTCTACACATGATGAGTCTACTAAAAAAAATTCACGTTTGCGTAATTCTATGATCTGTCACCGCAATGGCAAAATCAATGGCAAGATTCTGCTGCTCCACAGCAGTCATCTAGGACTTCCTCTGTCATCCAACACGCACAGTCACAGCAACCTACAAAGGTCAACAAAAGTTTAGTCAACTGCATCCCAACACCCATGATATATCTCCAACTATAGCGTCCCACGAGGTCTCACAACCTAAAGTGCAACCCAACGTGTGCGCAGTCGTGCTTCAACCGCAGTGCCACCCACACGTCACCCCGCTCCAGAGGCCGCTGTAGCGCTTGAAGCCCTGCGGTGTGAAGTCACCGTGGAAGAACTTCACCACCAACTCCGAGAGCACGGTGCCCTTGGGAGGGTCACCACCAGCGCCAGTCCTCAGTGTTTAAGCCACGTGACACAGTTGGCTGTGAATGGAAGAAA